CCCCCGCCGGCCCCGCCGCCCCCAATCGCCGCGCCGTCCGCCGCCGCCCCCAGGCTCTGGCGTATGAACCTCAGCAGCTGCACGTAGATCTCGTCCTCGCGGCTGTCGGGCTTGCACACGTCAACGTGGTCGCGCCCTGCCAGGAGCTTGACGTCGCCAAAGCCGGGGTATGCGGACTCAAAGGGCACGATGACGACCTGGTTAGTGGGCATGGTGTGTGGGCGTGTGTGTGCGCGTGTGTGTGTGTATGTGTGTGTGTGTGTGTGTGTGTGTGTGTAGGGGTGGATCCATGGCCACGGCCGCTGCAGACAAACAGGCAGCGTGTGAAAAGCCTGTGTGCAAAAGCGGGCGTCAGCCGCCTGGGAGAAGGCCACCCACGGCCCAGCGCTGGCGAAGGACAGGCGGGGCAGGGGCAGGGTGGGGGGGCGCCGTGGCCGCACCTTTGGGATAAATCCAGCCAGGGGGGTGGGGAGGCCCTCCGCAAAGCTGAGCACTGATATGGCCCCTGGGTCAGGGGTAGTTGAGGGCGATACGCAATGGTTCAGGTGTTGCCGAAGATCGTTAGGAGTTGCCGCATTAATTTGTGGATTGGTGGGTCACATGGCCGGTTGGATGGAAGGTCATTTGGTTGTGCGCTGGTGGATGGCAGTTGATGTGGTCAGCAGCACCTGTCGCCATCAGACTATACGAATTGCCCTCAATCGGCGCACCGCGGGGGCTGCTGCCTGCCGCACCCTGGCGCTCGACGCACGTGAAACCAGCAGACAATGACCGCAGTCCCGTGCACAGGTAGCGCACAGTTCGGCCGCACACCTCAAACCCCACACCACCCAACGGCGGCAGCCCAATCCCAGCCGGGCCCGTCCCTGCACCCCTTCCCCCAAAGGGCCTCTGAGCTGGGGGATATTGCTTTAAAGTTGATGATCAGGATGTAGAGCGTGGCCTTCAACCTTAACCCCAAGCCGCCCCACCTGCCGCGTGCAGCGCCCTCAGCCTCTCGTTCAGCTGCTCCAGGTGCGGCCCTGGCGCCAGGTGGTGCACCGCGGGCGCCGGCGCGTTGGACGCGCCCGGCACGTGGCGCAGCTTCAGGCCCAGGGACGCCAGCATCGAGCCGAAGTGGGGGGTCGCGAAGAACGCGACGCCGCGGGTGGCGGCCGCGAGGCGCGCGGCGGGGGTGCTGGAGGCGGCCTCGTCAAGAGCCAGGGACAGCATTTCCTGTGTGTGTGTGTGTGTGTGTGTGTTGGGG